ACTTCATTAAGCTGAAGTGGTCTGGGTGCCTAGAGTGGTCCTTTAATGATATCCGTCTTATTGAGCCAGCTTCCCTGTTATCATAACTGCATCAATGGCGTTATCAATAGTAGCATACTGCAGGGAAAATTCCTCTGAGGGAATGAGAGAGTTCAGACTGGGGTCGTGGAAGAGTGGGGAGCAAAGAGTTTGATAATCAACCTTAGCTTGGCTGACCTTTGACCAGAAACCACCCCAAAAGGGTTAGTTCTCCATACTGAGCAAGGTGGGGCCTAGAAAACCTTGATCCAATTCAGTTTGTTACTGATTGTTAACCGCTATTGGATTGGCAAGTGCGGACAGCAGGTTCTTACATTCTACAATGCCGAATGGCATGTAAAGAATTCCCGTATTGAACCCTTCCGTGAATCCAGTCACCAAAAACTCCACCGAGTGGGGTAAGCGATGGTTCTGTAGTAAGTCGACAAAACAAGTCACATTGATTGAGGCCATGTAGGGTTTGAGAAAACGTTTAATTGGACACATCGTCTTAGCATCTGCCCTGAAACAAAGGGAACACATATGCAATAATCGGCAAGTGCTAAATCCACAGGAACCTGTATTAAAGTTATTGCAAATCTGGGATTTGCCCAGAAAATAATATTACAGCCAAGCTTATCCTTAATCACTTTCTCAAGTTTAGCTAAAGAGGTAGGCAAAGGAAAGGTAGTACCCAGCTCAGGGGTATTAGGACATAGGTTTGTGGTATGTGAGGACAAAGAGCAAATACCAGAAGCTGGGGACCTGATGCCCGTGAAGTGCCTGCAAAACAGCTCTGTGTCCAACTGGCTCCAGTTTGTCTGAAAATTGAACTGAGCCAGTGCCGCAGACGCCTTCGCGGAGAATGATCTGCGGTAATCATAAAATTATGTACCTCTATACTTATGCCCCAGGTCCACCAACTTGTGTGAATACAGGTCAAATTCTTGTCTGCGTTCAGGATAAACTGAGCACATCATGTCCCTATAAATACCAAAAGCCAGGACGAACTCAGGGATTGACAACTTCCTGTTCAACCTGGGGTCCCTAGCCTTCAGTACGACCGAGACATCGCCATAGGAACATGTCTTGTTCTCCAGAATATCTTGGGAGGCAATCAGCAGCGAAACTAGATTGCTATCCTTGCCTTCCAAGATATCCTTCTTAATATAAGCTGGTACCACGTGAGCTGGGTTAATGATATAAGGGTTCTGTAGCGGACCAATAAATTTACCAGTCAGGGTCCCTGCGAGACCAGTAGGTTCTGGAGTAACCAATCCAGATGGTGCCACTGGCCTATCATTAGCATCCAAACGGTCCAACCTATCTGTAATCTGTCCATTGAGGACAAGACTGATGACAGGACGGCCTGGAGGTAGGCTGACTGGGCACCACTGGGGCCTTCTCCAGCCCTGGTATTATCCATGGTGGTATTGAGTAGTTTATACAGTTCTGCCTTTCTGGTAGTGGCAGGGTAATAGCTTCTGGTAGTTCAGACATGCTAGAATAGGACAAAAGATTCATTAACCCCGGGTTGAGTAACCAAAGTGATAATAACGTACTGGCTAGCTTATCTAATGCCAAGTGGTAACATTTTTTATCTAATAATGGAGAAGGGAGCCCTACTAATTGCCAAGTGGCATGAGAGGCTCTAGCTATGCGTTGGCCCAAGGGGATTTTGTGGCCACTGAAATTGTGGCGGGGTGGTGGCCTCTCGTGACCAGTAAAGCAAAAGAAAGCATGGGTTGACAGGGGGAGGCCCTCTCTATACAACCATGCGTGGCGACTAACTATGAGGCGCTATATTAATGGCAATAATAATAAAAATAATAGTTACATAGCTGAAAAGAGACTTGCGTGCATCAAGTTCAGCCTTCTTCACATTTGTTTGTTTGCTGTTGATCCAAAAGAAGGCAAAAAAAACAGTTTGAAGCACTTCCAATTTTGCAACAAACTAGGAAAAAAATTCCTTCTTGATCCCAGAATGACAGTCAGATTTATCCTTGGATCAAGAAGCTATTACCCTACGTGAGTCAGTACCTCCAAGTATGAGGATGGGTTTTGGCCAACTAAATAAGAGGACTCTGAAGCCTATCAGCCAGTAGACAAAGTCTTACCCTAGTGGTAGTTGCAGGATGGGGAGGGGTGAAAGTGTAACGACCACTGGTTACACCTACCTGTCGTATCAGATGGATATAGAGAAGGACAGAGTAGATGAAACCTGAGCAATACCAGCTAATAGAATAGGCCTAAAAATGAACCAGGCAGAGCGTAAGTGGTAGTATAACCAGTAAGGCCTAGCACCTAATAACATAAAAAGGAAACAATTTGGTTTGCAGCTCCTGTAAGCTCCTTCCTCCTCCGTGCAGCTCCCCTGTCAGCTCTGTTCTGCTTACAGTGGGTGTCGCGAGATTTACACTGTGAGCAGAACGGAGCTGACAGGGGAGCTGCACAGAGGAGAAGGGAGCTGACAGGAGCTGCAGGAAGGTAAGTAACAGCTCACTGTCAACCCCCAACAGGACTGCCGGGCTTGTAATGAGCCCGGCGGTCCTGGTCTTTATTGTGGCAATGTAAGTTGCCACAATACAGACTGACTCGAGTATAAGCCGTGTTGGGGTTTTTCAGCACAAAAAATGTGCCGAAAAACTCGGCTTATACTCGAGTATATACGGTAATTCAAATAAAAGCCC